TCTAATTATCATGTATCTTTTGATATGTTAGGATTCATTTGTTTTGAAAAGATAGATGTTTCACCATTTTGGGATATTGGTTTCTATAATTTTTTTACTGATATGCAATTTTAACTGATATGTTTTTAAATATACTGTTATATAATAGCTATTGTTTAGTTATAATAGTTGATCTTTAACATTTACTCCCTTTGTTCCTAGATATTTGATGTTTTAGGTTTTTTTTCTTGTTCCACAAAGATTGATGTTTTGTAATAGCATCATTACTATTTTTATTTGTGACCAATAGAGAAAAGGGATAAATAAAATTAATATTATTAAACTAATAATAAAAAAATATAAAAATATAAAAATGAATTTTTTTTAATCAGTGTGTAAAACTCAAAACATCACTCTTCTAGGAACATAGAGAGTATCTATTAACAAAACTATATATGATATTCTAAATTTAATTATTTAGTATTGTGGATCTCATATCAGCATATAAAAACTTTGAAAACCTTCGAATAAGTTGTATGTCGAATAAACTTTTACTAACATTTATTAGTTATTTAGATTAAAAGTATTGTGAGGAAAATGAATTTTTATATAAACAAAATAATAGTTTTCAAATACAATATGAGTTAGGCTTTTAAAATTTTAATAATTAATTATATTTATAATTATAAATAGTTAGTCCATTTAATTTATTTGGCTTAAAACTATATATGTCAATTTGAACCTCATACTCATTATTAATTTGGTTTAGAATATCGAAATAAGTTAAAATTAATCATCTGTTTCTTATATTGAATTGGATATCGGTACTTGTCTTTAGTTTTTTTTTTGTTATATTTGAAACGTTGATAGAAACCATTAACTTTAAGTTTTGTAGTCTTTTTTTTGTCAAAATTTTTAATTGTCATTAAATATTACGCTAACTTTATAGTTTTTTTGATAGTTACGTTATAATTTCAATGACCTATATATAGGTAAGATAACTTCATATTTCAAATAACAGATACAAATCATTGTTTCTTACATTTGTTTTTCATAAAATAAGAATAATTCTTGTACATTTCAAGCGTAAGTAGATATGTCTAAATTTAGCTCTCAAATTACTACGCTATTCATCGTTGTAGCTTTGGTGTGTGTGTTTGTTCCGGTTTTCTCAGTCGAAGAAGCTGAAGCAAAATCATTATGGAATACTTGTCTTGTAAAAATCACTCCTAAGTGTGCGTTGGATATAATCGGTGTTGTCTTTTAAAATGGAACCATCTCTGATCCTTGTTGCAACGATCTCGTCAAAGAAGGGAAAGTGTGTCACGATACGCTTATTAAATATATTGCAGATAAACCCATGTTAATTGCCCACGAAACTGAATACTTGAAGAAGAGTGCTGACTTGTGGAATCATTGTGTCTCAATCTCGAAAATTGCTTGAAATATGTATTGCTTGTACTATTTTTACCGAATAAATTGATATTTCTCTGTTGTTAGATTTCTATTACCACAAACATTTATATTTTCACTTTACTACAATATTCACTAAAGGGATTCTTTCTGAAAAAGACAAACTTAAACTTATTATTTTCTATTTGAACTTTAAAACAAACTTTTCTATTAAGAATCGAATAATAATTTAAAATCTACAATATTAAGAGTAGCTCTAATATATGAGTAAAGGCCCAGTCAGTACTCGAATCAATCTGTCCCCCCCTTTTT